CACGCCGCCTTCCCGGGACCTCGTCCAGTCCTCCCCCAGCCAGGTAAGACATCCCCCGAAAATAAGACCTGGTGTCTTATTTCCTGCAAAAAAAAAAAATAAGACAGTGTCTTATTTTCAGGGAAACACGGTATTTACCTGACGTGACCCCTTCTCTTTTATGATAACATATATTTTACCAAAAAATTGGGTAAACATTTAATATAGGGGAAACTGTTGTTTTTTTTTTTTTTAGAAACACCTGATCTTCAAGTGGTTAATGAAAATTCTGATCCATCTGAATTTTGTTTAAAACTAAACTAAATCGGACATGTGCCTGTTCTCTGGCCAATCAGATGGGGGGTTTTGGCTGTTGGGGGTTGCAGTACAAGCACGGTCACATGACTGTTCCAAAAAAAAATTCAGATGGATATTAAAAACGAAAAAATCCAAAATGAATTTTTTGTGGGGTTACGTGTCTAGCAAGCAGTTGTTGCCTACCACATAAAGTGAATCTGTCCCACATAAAAAAAAAAAATTCAAAAAGGGTTAGAAGAGAATGTTAATACCTACCTGTCCCTTAGATCTTTGCTGTCTTCAAAAGGTACTGCGACTGTTGTATCTTCAGCATCTGACACCATTTCAGGTGTGGGGTGCCTGGTCCCCTGCTGCATGCTATGGTCCCACCCACTGGCCTCTACTTCACTACTGTGTCCTTTTAGGGATGTAGCAGCCACCTGGATTTATGTCAGATGCTGGATATTCTTCAACAGAGTGAAGATCAGAGGCACAAGTGGCAGGACAGGTAAGCTTTACCGAGAGATATTACTTTAAGGCCTAGTTCACACAGGCTTCAGCCTGTATAAGAGCAGTGTGACAGTCTTTTATCAAGCTTTTGAAAATGTTAAGCACAGATCTTAATGGGAGCGCTGTCACTTTAAACAAGCTGTGAGCAGACTTCAGTAGAACTTGAAACTTGTTGAAAGCCTGCTAGCAGCTTGGCCTGTTCACATGAGATCAGGTCCTGATCAGCAGACGTGGAGCTGCTCATGCAGTGCGTTTTTTTAATGCATTTTCGGTCCATATGCAGATTCAGCCTCTGAGGTCACCTCCGCCCTCTCGGAAACATCTGCTTCCCTTTGTGTATGTAAAGCTGGGGATCAGACATGTATCACATATTTGCAGGTATGTTGATTGTGCTGGCTACAGCAATCTGCAGAGAACGAGCCCGCAGGAGACGTCGTTATTGGGTACACCCAATCTTGAGGCTCCGGGACTCCAAGGGTCAGTTCTGGAGTTTGTATGAGGATTTGCGAGGTCACCTGGATAAATTTTTTTCCTTTACTCGTATGTCCATGGCAAGGTAATGGGCATGTTCCAAATGTTTGCAGTTCATGTCGTTTACCTCTACCCCCAACCTGTCTGTCTATTGTTGATAACATCATAATAAGTGGAGCAAGAATACAATTTTTTTTTCCTTAGCTGCATTGCGTTGCGTTTCCATTGCGTGCGTGTTTCCAGACCGGACAAAATGTGACATGCAGTATTTTTTCTGTCGTAAGCTGAACGGACTGCGCACGTGAGAACTGTAGCCCATAAAACACGTAGGGATACATTTTGAGTGCAGCAGCGTACGGATCCGGTCAGCACACAAAACGGACGTCGTGTGAACAGGCCCTAAAGTGACAATGAGCACTCCCATGAAGAAATAGAGCTCCAGGATGCATAAATGTTGCGTTTTGTCTTTTGGTATGTGGGTCCATCATTTTTGTGTACATCATGCACTTCACACACCTGGAATCTAATGCGTTGATTACAATAGGGAGCTGAGGGTTGTGATCAGCCAGGCAGAATACTGGTGTGATGAGCTAGGTGTTTTACTTTACTGATCAGTGTGTCTCTGAACCCCTCACCTTGTACTGTCATGATCTCTAACAGCTCGGGGATTATCCATGCCTCTACAATATGCAGCAGCTCACGGTTATGTATTGTGCCTGTTCTCTACTGCTGCTCTAGTACATCTCTATTACATGCAGTTCTTATCCCTAATACACAAGTTGCACACAGTGCCTTCCGCACTACTTTTTAATACTAGTGCCTCACGTAACCCTTTCACACATAATGCCTTATGTCTCTACTACTGTTTTGGCTCAGTACTCTCTATTCATGCAGTGCCTCATTTGTTAGTCGTAAGCTGAACGGACTGCGCACGTGAGAACTGTAGCCCATAAAACACGTAGGGATACATTTTGAGTGCAGCAGCGTACGGATCCGGTCAGCACACAAAACGGACGTCGTGTGAACAGGCCCTAAAGTGACAATGAGCACTCCCATGAAGAAATAGAGCTCCAGGATGCATAAATGTTGCGTTTTGTCTTTTGGTATGTGGGTCCATCATTTTTGTGTACATCATGCACTTCACACACCTGGAATCTAATGCGTTGATTACAATAGGGAGCTGAGGGTTGTGATCAGCCAGGCAGAATACTGGTGTGATGAGCTAGGTGTTTTACTTTACTGATCAGTGTGTCTCTGAACCCCTCACCTTGTACTGTCATGATCTCTAACAGCTCGGGGATTATCCATGCCTCTACAATATGCAGCAGCTCACGGTTATGTATTGTGCCTGTTCTCTACTGCTGCTCTAGTACATCTCTATTACATGCAGTTCTTATCCCTAATACACAAGTTGCACACAGTGCCTTCCGCACTACTTTTTAATACTAGTGCCTCACGTAACCCTTTCACACATAATGCCTTATGTCTCTACTACTGTTTTGGCTCAGTACTCTCTATTCATGCAGTGCCTCATTTGTTACAAGTAGTTCTTCACATTTCTATACTACATTCAATGGTTTATGCCTCATTACTATATAGTGCCCCCCCCCCCATTACACACTGTATAATGCATCATCACTCTCATATGTTCTTACATATTTTAGCCCACCTTTGTGCCTATATACCTCTATACTACTCACAGTAGTATAATCTACAAAAGCATAGGATATGCAGTATTTGTAGGGCCTTGAATTATTTGCATTATTATAGATTATTCAGTTTAGTAAAAGTATGATATGCATAGTCAAGTAGCAGTTAAAGATTAGCACACCTTAAAATATTGCTAGCCTCCAGCTGGCAATAACGGAAGGCTTGTTCAGACCATGTCCATTGAGCAGTGTTTCTCCACGCACCACTGCACATGTTTGGTGCAGACAGAAAATAATTGTTTTTTATGGGCCCTGCGTACACTAAGTGTGCAGAGAAACACTGGACATGGTGTGAAAAAGCCCTGAGAGTTTTAATGAAGTGTTCAGGAGAGCAGGAACAGCAGCTATTTGATATGCTGATAAAATACTCTACAATTTTGGGTTTGCCCTCAGTTTTTGTCTCTGTGGAAATGGTCACCAGGACAAAAAGAGAGGTAAATCTTCCCAGAAGGGCCACTGACTTGACATAGGGTCCAACCCCTCCCCATCTACCCTGTTTCCCCAAAAATAAGACCTAGTACTATTTTTGGGAATTGCTAAAATATAAGACCTAGTTGTGAACCTTTCCCGGGGCCGGTGGTGGCATAAGGGAGAACTTGAAGAGCCGCGGGAGAAAATCAGCAGTGCCAACGAAGCCAGCGTTAGAGGAAGCAAGGCGGCACCGGAGGGAGCAGCGCCGCATAAGCCGATGCCTCATCTATAGCGCCAGCTCCTGTCACAGGCAGAGTGATACCAAATGCACTCCGCCTGTGAGGAATCCATAGTGAAAGGGCACTTCGCTCATTCTGGCCAGCGATTGGTTGCCAGATTGCTCTTGGAAAGGTACGGCACCCCTGAATGTTCTGATCGCCATATTTTTGTACATGAATAAGTGTGGATTGTTGTACATTAAAATAAAAAAAATACCTAGTGTTTTGTTTTTTGAGCCAAAAAAAAAAATAAGACAGTGTCTTATTCTCGGGGAAACACGATAAAACTGAGCATAGCTTTTCTAGTTTCCCTAATGCATGCAAGTCTACTCACCTCAACAAGGCAACTTACCTCAAACGGTCTACAAAATGTATGTTTTGGGTGTATTATGTTAAAGCTTTAGATTCAATTTGTATGCTTAACAAAAAAAAAAAACTCCAAGCCTATACAGATTTATATTGGCAAAACTAGAGTGTGTATCCCTAATATCCCCCATCATCTACTTTGGAGTGTGAACAATCTAAAATTGCTAAAAATAGGCCGATGTGATAGAAAGCAAGCGCCCGCAAGTTCCCAATAACAGACACTATTTGAGATTTGCAGAAATGTTATCTGAACAGGAAACCTGTACTAACGTTAGAGGCTGCTGACATACATCTAGGCCAGGGGTAGCAAACCTCCAGCTGTGGTGGAACTACAAATCCCATGAGGCATTGAAAGATTCTCACAGCCACAACTCCCGAAGAGAGATGCATCATGGGATTTGTAGTTTCACCACAGCTGGAGGGCCGGAGGTTTGCTACCCCTGATCTATGCTAATCTCCAGTGTGTTATGTTGATCCAATGGCTTTATTCCTGATTTGGAACAAGAATGCAGCAAGTTCTGAATCAGTGATTCAGAAAACACTGGAATCATTGATTTGGCATGGCAGCCAAGCAGCTTGAATCTTAAGGGAAAGTCAGAGATGGTATAGGTTTCCATTAACAAACAGCACTGCTAGGCCCTTGTGGGAGTCATGCAGGATACTGTCTGGCCTCACTGTGGATGAGTATCATGATTCAAGTTGAAGTACCTAGACTGTGACTGAGGTCAATCTGCAGTCTCGCTCACTCCACCGATAGAACACAAACACCAGTTACTACATCGTGCTATATTGAGCATATCACCCACTACAAATCTATTACTGTTGTTATTTCAGTAAACCCTTTTCTTTGATACTCCTTGAATTGGTAAATTCCTGATTGATAAACTCAATCAGCGATGATACATCTCTGGCGCACGGAGGTAAAAAGACATGCAGCAGTAACAGTCTTTATTAGGAAAGACAGTAACAAGTTTAATCATGTTGTGGAGCAAAATCACGTTATGCTTTTAAGACAGAACTGCTGTTGCCATGTAACGGTACACAGGAGACAATAAGCCTCGCTCTTTCACTGTCACACAAAATAAGACTAGTAAGCGTTACTAACAGAAGCCAAATCACAAATTAAATGTTACACTGCACATAACACTTTTTGCATAGTCCATGCAGTGTCACAAAAGAAAAAAAAACATTAAAAGAGATGGCCCAAAAATAAAATGTAAACCGTCAATAACACTTAGGTGAACCGTCACACCTGTGTTGAGAACCTATGAAAATGTTTTTGGTTTAATATCACAGGGTAGCCTCATACAGCTCTTTTGCACCCAGATACCATAGATTTCAGAACACTGCATGCCCAGTTTAATGTAAACATATTTATGCAAACATTTTTGCATAGACAGCTCTTTCTTTTTCCTTCTGTTCTTTGATTCTGTGCTTGACCCGAAGAATTTCACTGCCGATAGCTGCAAGAACAGAGATCGGGTTAAAGGACAGAACATGCTGTGGCAGTAGGACAATGATGACAGCAATCCATCATCTACACCAACATTTCCCAATAAGTCACAGACCAAATGACATTATATACGGCAAATAGCTTATTCCTGTGAAAGAGTACTTGGCAACGTAGAAGAAATCTGCTCATCCTGCGTTATGACTGGAAGTGTTGCTTTGCTTTATAAAAAGCAGATTCCACCACTTGATACATGGGATCAAATTCATGCTGTGAAACAAAAAGTTTAATGTGCTCCCGCCACTAGGAAGTTACATAAACTGGCTGGAGCAGGCAAAAAAATTCTACTTGAGCATACCAGAGAAGCCCCAAACGCTGCGCAGCATGAAGATGTCAACTTTGCTCTGTAAACCATCCCCAACATTCAAACCAATGAAAGCTACTCAACTACCTGACAGTCAATAAAGCTATAAGCTGGGATACAGGGTAGAGGCATACACAGTCTCCATTGCTGAGCAATTCGACCTTCTGCACATACTATAATTTAGGAGTTGCCAGTGTGCCTTAAAATTAAAGATGGGGGGAAGGGGTGTTTAAAAAATATTAAAGTAACAACATTGCAGACAGTGGCTGGGAGCAATAGCCAACCTGCTATTGGCTACTGCAATTTAAAATAGCCAATAGCAGGCTGGCTATTGCTCCCAGCTGCTGAATGGAAGACTTAACGCCAGCTTTCCACAGCCGGTAGTAAAAAGAGAAGGCAGGGGGGCGAGCAGCAAGGCACAAGGGAAGCTGTGGAGGTACGTGGGCAGAAGCGGAGGCACGAAGGTAATGCAGAGGCACAGTGGTCTCTCCTCCCCACTGGTCGCCGGCTGCAGTGGTCGGTGTCCGATCACCGCTGCCTCTGCTGATACAGGCAGGGAGAGCAGTGAATATCAGAAGGGACACTGAGTGCAGCAGGGAGAAGAACGGGGAGTAGAGCTGATGTAGAAGTGGTGGCAGGGGACAGAGAAGGTGTTGACAAAAGCCAGGTGCCAGGGCACAATTTCTAGTTGCCATGGCAACCTGGCGTCTGGGATTTGTCAAGCCATGGTTTAACACAGGCATAAAAGGTACAATGGACACAAATTTACCTTTATCCTCTGGGGTCAACTCATGTGCCTTCTTTAGATCCTCCTACAACAGAGCAGAAAATCGGTTATCAAACCTTTCACAAGAATTGCACTGTAAAAAAAACAAAACAACAACTTACCAGTGCTTGTTCATAGTCTTTCAATCCCTGCCAACCTTGGGCCCGTCTGTAAAGTGCTTTTGTGTTAGCGGGATCAATTTCAAGAGCCTGTTAGACAACAGAACAAAATGTTAGATGCAAGGATATTTCGCTCTAATATACAGTAACTGCCTGTCGTTACAGCTGCTGTAATCACTGATATTTCTGCAGTGGGAATGGACCCATTTACATGTGTTCATGTATTCATCTGTTTTACTGTACCTAATACAAAGACTTATGTCAGACTAAGCTCCCCCTCATTAACTTGTAAATTCAGCAGTGTACAGCTTTTCTTGCAGATTTGATTGTTTTTACAAGCAGCAATTTAAAAAAGGAGAACTATGGGGTCAGTGTTTTTCCCCATAGTTCTCCTTAGGGTAACGGGAGGACACAAACTAGCGTCCTCCCGTTACCCTAAGCTCAGTATACCGCGAGCGGTATACTGAGACGCCGCACCTGGAGCGGATCCCGACGTAGATGACGGGATCCGCCCAGCTGCGTCAGTGACAGCTGGCTCTGCCTATCTAGGAGGCAGAGCCAGCTGTACCCGCCCCCACCCCTGTCTGATCCGCCAGTCAGCGCTGGCAGATCGGAGCGGGGAGAGGGGAATCCAGCCCTCCCCCTGTCACGGCAGAGAGCCGTGACAGGATCGAGAGGGGAGGGAACCCGGTATATTTCCCTCACCTCCCGATCTACTGAGCCGACCTGTGACAGTCTCATTGTCACAGGTCGGCTTAGAACTATGAGGTGAGTGGAAATCACTCATGTCATAGTTCTCCTTTAATGTTTGTTTTTTTTACTTATGCTATGCGAATGAGAAAAATTTAACTAATATAAAATGGGTTTTATCCCAATCTGGCTGCAAAAGTGGAAATACACTTTGAGGTGGCAGCTAGCCCCTGCGCCTAAAATAACGGTGTTTCTATTGTTATAAACTGGCAGTACATTTCCCCTGCCACCATAAAGCAACTATTGGCTCCCAGAATAAGCTGACCAGCTCCTAAATAATTTGTCACCCTTGAAATAAATGATCAACAGTTCCATAGTCTAGGAAGGGCTAACTAAAACAGGGTACAAAAGATTCAAATAAACATGGCTTCTCCGGGATGTATTGAATAAAGCTGTGATAACAATACCTCATTGCAGCTCTCAATTGCAGCTCTGAAGTCAGACATTTTCAGCTTACAAGCCCCAATATTCAGATTGCAGCTTACAGCAATAGGATTTAACTTTGAAATGTTGTCATCTCCGGTGACATCTTTGCAGCTCTCTACATATCTAGAAAACAACAAGATGACAATGAACATCAATATGACGGGTTACAATTATGCTATAAAGCGTCTAAACTAACAGTAATACTAAAGTGCAGATACCCGTGATGTCTATAAGTGCTTATATTAAACTTCAAATGCCAGCGGAACAATGTTTAAAGGGTGATGACCAGTGTCCACGTGTACCATGCTACACACAGGTCCCTGACTTCCAGTCCTATGCATAAGTATTCAGCCTGCTGAACTTTTATACATTTCATAGAATCACATTAGTGATTGAAACTGATTTAAATCAGAATTTTGAATTGAGATACTTACACCGTGAATGTGCAATAGCAATCTTATGGAAAATGCCAAAGAGGTGAAAGCTTACACGAAGCACATATGTGGAAATAGTGTTTTGGTTGGTGGGGCATAACACCAACACCAGAGCATCTTCAGGCCAGTGAAAGAACCGCTGTGATGCGAGAACCAAGATACAGTTATATACTTACCCACACAGAGTGCACTAGCTTACTTTAAGGGCTTGTTCACACTATGTGCAATGACCTGTGTTTGTGTGCACAAAAGCAATGCAGGTCACCACCAGGGCACACAGAAAAATGTTTTCTATGTGTCCTGTCTACACTGCCATGCTGACTTGAGGTCGGTTGCAGTGCATTGGACGGAAAAATGCAGACATGCTGCATTGTTCTGCAACAGAGCTCAGCTGAAGTTACAATCTGTGACCGCAACAGAACTCGGCTGTGGTGCATTACGTTAATGAAGTGTCATTTTGTCACACTTTAGTAAAGTTAAAAAGATGTGATGCACTAAAACTATGCAAAGAAAAGCCCCCATCCTCACCGCCTCTTCACACTCACACAGTGGACACTAGCCTGCACAAAAACCTCTGAGGGCTAGTGTGAATGTGTTCTCACACAGGCTAATCCTATTACTTGAGCAACTGCCAGGACAGCTGTTGTGTTCATCCACAGGACATGAATGGGGAGTAAAGAAATGATTACAAAAATCTCACCTAGACCATTACACTGCAAATCTGAGAAGAAAAGCATTGAATACCCAGGTAAGCTATAAAAGCGTATTTTTACCCCATACTGCAACATACCGTAGAGCTTTATTGTATTTCTTTATTGCCATCTCCCAGTTCAGAGACTTGAATAAATTATTTCCACTGTTCTTGACATCTTCTGCAATGCTGACAATTTTTTCCACCTGTTCAGCAAAGAAAAGTATGATTGTATTCCAGGAAAATTGTAAGCCATTTGCACATAATGTCTGTACCGTAGTGTCTTTTTCGTCTACATATATTGGTCTTATCTAGACACTTCAAACGCCGTTGATGATTTACTTATATAAATGACTTACATCATTTAGTTCAACGTCAGAGTCCTCTGGGAAGTCAGGATGAATGTCACCAGAGCCGTCTGAAGGTGCCATGACCAACTCATCTCCGTCTCGGAACTCTCCACAATCTGCTATTACACATGGCTGCATAAAGAAAGACAACTAGGATTAGAGAGAAGACACAAGTTTATCTGTATTTAAACCTGAACATTATGAATAAGATTTCTAGAAAACTAGGAGCAACAAATGTAAAAACCCCTTAAAGTGATATTAAACTTTTTTCTTTTTATAATCAGGAGAGCCAGAGGTATTTTACCACCCCCTCCCCCAACCACCACCTTGTGCGGGTGTCTCCATCAGCTAGCCGGCTGCTGAGAAGACACCTGTGAGCTCCAGGCTGTGTGCATCCATAGACACACACAGCAGGTGGCACGTTACCCCCGCTCTAACAGTCACAGTTTGATGGCAGAAGGAGCCCATAGCTCCTCTGTCCTCAGTACCCTCCCCCAAGACCAGGAAGTCCCGGCAGAGGAGACGAGCAGCCACAGGTAAGTGAGGTGTCAGACAGGTACTAGGTGTTTCTTTACCTCAATGCAAAGAATGCATTAACCACTTCCGGGCCTGCCATTGTAAAAAAAAACAAAAAACGGCCTTTGAGCGGGCGCACCCGCTCAGCCACACCCCCTCGCGTGAGTGGGAAATGCCCGATATCTAAAAACAGGTACCGATGCCTGTTAACATACAAGCGATCCGCCGGCTATAGAGCCAGCGGATCGCTTGTATGAGGTCCCGGTATGTGCGCCACACCCCTCTCCGCGGCTCCCTCACTCCCGCTGTCACGATGGTCCCAGGCTCCGCTGTGCCCGATAGCAGCATCGTGCCTCTGTCACAGGGGATCAGAGGGAGGTCGGTACACGAGCTCCCTCCGCTCCCCTCTCCGCTGTCAGAATGCGGAAGTGATGTATATTACATCACTTCCGCATTCTTGTGTAACTCTCCAGCTGGAGAGAAGCTGATGAAGCAGGTTGTTATTATTAGGCAGCTCCAAAAACTTAGGAACAGCTAATAATAATCTTAGAGGCTGATCCTGACAGCATGTCAGAATCAGATCTCATTAAAGGTTTCTGATCCTGCCCAGAAGATCAGAAGTGATGCATTTCAGGCACAGAGATACATTGTAACATTGTGCCTGAAATGTATCACACAGCTTCATAAACATAGGTCAGTCTATGGAGCTGTCAAAACAAATAGAGAGGTGACTCACTCTGCTATCTTCAGCTGTCAAATACCGGATCTATTTGATGGCTTCATTCTTTCATTAATGCAAAAAAGAAGCTTTTACAAAAGCTTAACTATTTCATTAATGAATGCCTCAATGCTGGGCATTCATTAATGACTGGTAACCACTGAGAATCAGCGGTTACCAGCATTACAAAGCCTTAAATAGTGTACGTGGCCAGCACATTTAGGGCACTTCGTGGCGGGACCTACAGTGTATGTCTCCCATCATGAAGGGGTTAACGCCCAAACTCCATTTTGCAACTTTAACATGCATTAGTAAGATTATTTATCAATGTAGCTACTTTGTCTATCCATGTGGATTATATCTCCTTTGTTCAAGACAAATCAGGAATTATTTGGTGGCGCATGGTAATGGATAGCTATTGATTATCAAAGAAACCAAAAAATGTTTCTCCCCTATTAAACACTGACACAAAAACTTGCACTGATACTAACACTAAACAAAGTCTTTTTTTCTACCTACCTAAACACACTGACACTGACCTAGAACATGCCATGCTGTTTTTATTTTGTGTGCGATTGGGCTGTCACCAACAATTCATGGTTAACGCATGATCAGGAACCACACCATTACATCATCACTGTGCACCCAATCACAGTGAACAAATAAATAGGAGGCCCTTCTGCAGGCCCCCAGCGTCACGGTCCACGTAATGGTTTGGCTCCCACCAGCGGCAAGGGGTTAAACCGCAAGGTGATAAAAATTTTTTTTAGAGATACACCAAATACTCATGCCTGGGAGCTTACCTTTTTAGGCTTTTCCTCCTGAACTTCAATATTTTCCAGCATTTTCACAATGCCATACCCTTTAAGCACTTGTCCAAATACGACATGTTTCCCATCTAAGTGAGGTGTCGGTACAGTTACGATGAAGAACTGAGAGCCATTGGTGTTTGGTCCTGCGTTAGCCATACTGAGCAAGCCTTCCTTGTCATGCTGAATTGAGGAATAAACACAAAACACATTTTATTTGAAAAATAATCACCGAAGCAAACATCCCTGGCTTTAGTTTATCTGTTTTGGGGTAGCCTTAGAATGTAGTTTACCTGCTTGTTTTTATTTAGGGGCATCTTGTAAAGCACTTTTACTTACCTGACCCCCTTCCCTAGTGCTCACCTCTACCCTCATCAATAATGCAGTGTTATAGATCCTGCCTTAGATGTGATAACATCAGCAGGCCTCCAACCACAGGAGTGCAGGGCAACAGGAGCGAGTCTTGGAGCCAGGGATCATTAAGTAAAAGTCATTTACAGAGGTCCCCTAGAGAAAAACAAGCAGTTTGCCCTTGCACTGCTAGAAATAATTTTTATATGATATGTACCGATAGAATATGGAGTCTGCCAATAATGACCTTTCCTAAGGAAAATGATAGCTGGCTGGCATGCTGATCCAATGGCTTTAATAGTAAGAGTAATAGACATGAAACAAGCATGCAGATATAGGATTCCGACTTCTCATTTTATACGCTTGTTCCAGGTCAGTACTCAGAATGAGACAGCCAGAAAAGTAGTAATTCAGAAGGTGATCAGCTATGACATTCTCTGTATATCTCATAGGTTTCCTTTAAACTGTTCACCTTGAAATATAAAGACAACTCTATGCAGTCTCTATACACAATTATCAACACCCTAAGCTAATCAGATTTTAAAATTCTGCCTCTTCTGCAAACATAACTGGAGGCCATTTTTTGCAGTGACGGAAGTCTGCTTGAAAAACTGCAAAAGCTTTTGATGACTCCATCCTGTCTTCTTACTAGGACGGAAAAGCCACAGGAGGGAGTGCTGTCCTGTTCCCAAGGGCCGCACACGCACAGTGCACTCTCTCGGCCAAGATGAGCTTATAAACAGGACAGAGCCATTAAAATCATTGGCAGTTTTTAGCAGGCTTTGTTACTGCGAACCAAAAGTGGAGAACAGGAAAGTGATTAAGCTTAATTGTGGTAGAGAAAAGTCAGGTCACCACCCGGGCTCTGCGATCCCAGGAATCTCAGAAATAGATGGACAGGAATACATATCCTTTGGGGAGGTAAAACAGCCCCCATATATGTATTTTTCTGTTACCTTAGATGTGTCATCTGTCTTATTACAATCATAACAGCTAGAACTAAGCGAGTCAAGTATGGCAAGTGTATGCATACAGCCAAGGTGACGCCGTTTATATACTAGAAACCAAAGTGTTTTTGCAATATCATTCTACCTACCTTATAATGAAAGTTTTCATCCTCAAACTTCTCTCCATATATACTTTCGCCACCAGTTCCATCTTGGTTTGAGAAATCTCCACCCTGGATCATGAATTTTTTAATAACTGAAATTTAAAAAAAACACACCAGTTGATAAAGTTTCAAATTAAAAAGGAGAACTATGAGGCGAGTGAAAATCACTAATCCTCATAGTTCGATCTGACGTGCGACAATGAAACTGTCACACGTCGGCTCAATAGACCGGGAAGTAAGCGAACACATACTGTCGCTCGCTCACTTCTCGATCCTGTCCCTGCAGAGAGCAGTGACAGTCACTCACAGCTCCCTGCAGGGATTCCCCCCCTCCTCTGTCCGATCCTCCAGCGCTGAGTGGAGGGGGCGTGTACAGCTGGCTCTGCTTCGAGATAGGCAGAGCCAGCTGTCACTGGCTGCGGCATCTCAGTACGTGAGCTGTAGCTCGCGGTATACTGAGCTTAGGGTGGCGGGAGGAGGCTAGTTTGTGTCCTCCCAATACCCTTAGGAGAACTATGGAGAAAAGCACTGACCCCATAGTTCTCCTTTAAGCAACAGATGCTTTATAAATACAGAATGTAACTACTTACTTCTATGGAAAGGACATCCTTTGAAGTGCAGAGGCTTTCCTGTCGTCTTCCCTATTCCTTGTTCCCCGGTGCACAGAGCTCGGAAGTTCTCGGCTGTTTTAGGGACAATATCTGCAAAGAGTTCCAGCACCACACGACCAACTAAAAACAACAAAATGTATATGTTTTCTATGCGACAGTCACATAAGTGTAATGAACACTCAAGCAAATGAAGGAAGATATTAGTAGAGCTGCAGCTAACGATTATTTTCAAAATCGATTAGTTAACCGATTATTAAGTTCGATTAATCGGTTAATCGGATAAACAATCAAATACATTTTTAAAAATGGCTCCAGTGATGGACTACTAGTTTGTATTGAAAGGAGCAAGCTTGGAGCGGTGGAAGTAAAAAAAAAAAAAAAAGTGTGGTGTGCAATATAGTGAAATGGAAAGTGTAAAATTATACAGCAATCAATGCAGAATTGCACCAGCTATAGAGGACTACTAATCCCAGCAATAGTACATTATACAGCGCAATGCAGAATATCACCAGCTATAGAGGAGCACAACAAATCCCAGCAATAGTACATTATAGCTGGTGGTATTCTGCATTGCGCTGTATAATGTACTGTTGCTGGGTTTTGTAGTCCTCTATAGCCAGTGGTATTCGGCAGTGCACCACTGTATAATGTATTATTGCTGGGATTTGTAGTGCTCCTCTATAGCTGGTGGAATTCCACATGGCGCTGTATAATGTATTATTGCTGGGATTTGTAGTCCTCTATACAGCGCAGTGCAGAATATCACCAACTATAGAGTACAACAAATCCCAGCAATAGTACATTATACATACAGTATATAATGTATTGCTGGGATTTGTATTCCCATGTATAATATACAGCACAATGTACCATCAGCTATAGAGGAATAAAAATCCCAGCAATACATTATAGAGCAGCGTGTGTGGAGCCGTGAACAGGGCCAACTGATCAGAAGCCGATTAATCGATTATTGAAAAAGTTGACAACTTTTTCAATAATCGATTATAATCGATTATGTCAATTAGTTGTTGCAGCCCTAGATATTAGACATGATGAGTTTTCATGGTTTAAAGACATCCAATCATTTTATCAGTCCCTGTATTGCTGGCTTCCCTAGCATATGACTTCAAAAAAGTAATGGAGCTGGTTATTAAACAACAACTGCACTTTCTGACCATGTTTTATCCGACACTCATATTTAAATTGTAGCACAAAACACTCCAAGCTGGCTCCTGTGATAAGACTACAATCTCAAATTTAGTTTACCAATTTGTATTGAGTACATCACAGGAGCGAGCTTGGAGCGGTGGCTACTTTATAAACACATGGGGAACAAAAGCAGCCCCCCTCCAGAAGGAAGGACAGTGTCAGCACCAATTCTGACATGATTTGAGGATCTATAGATGAGTGATACAAAAATAAGATACATTTTTGTTAAAAGTTAAGGTACTTGAATGTATTTTTTTTTTAAGATTTAACTCCTGAGTATAGTGTCACTTTAAGTGCAGCATTGTGTGGAGACAGGGTCAATGTCATATCTCACCATACCTAGAAGTAATGGAACCAGATCAGGGCAGTGGGGGATCATAGGGAAGAGTGGTAACTAAGGCCCTCTTCAAACCAGTCCGTTTTCATGCAGCAAAACCACATGCATATTGCTGCATGAAGATGCATTGCAAGTAGAAATCCCATTATTTCCAATGAGGCAGGTCCTATGTGATGCAGTTTATTGTGAAAAAGGAAAACTATATAGGCCCAGTCAAACCTATGCATATGCAGTACATGTGCTGCACGAACACAGAACAGTGTCAATCCAGCCTATAGGATGGTCAACTCCCTCCTATAAAGTGTACCTGTTACGTCACACAGTATGGAAAATGGACTGCCAACACCCAAACTGGGCCAATTAGCCCACATTGACATGAACGTGCACATCCACGCAGAGCCCAGGTGCTGCGTATTGCTGTGCGCAGGTCTCTGCATGGACGTGTACACACCCATGTGATATCTATGCCTGTAGGCTATGTATACCTAGTAATAAACATCAGATGTACTTTAGATAATATGCTCCACTGCTGTAGCATCTGATACAGAAGGGGTCTGTGCCAGCTGTCTATCATTACATAAGGGCTCCCTCACACTAGCCTGCTCTTATAATAAACAGGTTAATGTGTGCAGGTCCAGCGGAGAGATGCTCCATTTCAATGCATCATGCTGTTTACTTTTCCTTTTTATTCCAACTCATCTCAACATAACTGCCTTTTACTTCCTCCAACAACTCAAACCAAACAATTGTTACCTTTTGTATCACTTGCCCCTCCTACTAGATTGCAAACTCTCACGGGCAGGGCCCTCCCAACCCTATTGTTCTGAAACTGTATTATAACTGTACTGTCTCCACTATTTTGTATAGCGTTGAGCAAATTGTTGGCGCTATATAAATCCTGTATAATAACTTTATCTGGAATGTACAAACTGTACACTTCACTTAGGTCTCTGCACAGCAATGTAGAGTGCTGCATTACTTTTTGTTGTTGTAGCGCACCACAGATCCCTACAACATTGTGATATGAACTGGGCACATAAAAATCAATTGTCTTCTATGTGTCCTAGCGGGGAGTGGCATTGCTCAGTTGTCACAGTGTCCTCATAGGTTCAGGTATTGTCACTCTTTATACAGCACTAACATTCCATATTTCTTTTTTGCAGAAAACCAACGTTTGTTTATTCTGTATAGTTTGAGGAAGGCTTAGAGCCCCTTTTGGGGGGTTTTACTGCCGTCGGTGTCACTAGCCCCAGGACAGGAAGGGATGCGGAATCGCGCTGATGAAGACGGATAAACACATTGAGGGGAATTCATAAAAACTGGTGCAGACAGAATCTGGAACGGTTGCCCGTGGCAACCAACCAGCATCTCTTTAATTTCCAAATTTTCACTGAATAATCTGAAAAGAGAGGCTGACTGGTTGGTACATGCAACTGCTCCAGATTCGGTTTCACATTCTCCCCCCATTATCAGTAAAATGGGGGGGGGACTTGGTAACAACCCTCTCCTTGCTTGTATGGGCAGCAAAGTGACAGGAAATGAGGGGGATTCTTAACAAAGGGAGTCACAAAAATCATAACCTGACAAACTTTAACTCTTCCCCACACTTACCCAAAGCTAGAAAAGTCAATATTGGGCTGGATTAGGCTTTATGGTAACAATTAAATACTGCTCAGCCACACCAGATTATAGAGTTGTACAGGCCATGTGCTGATTATTTACCCAAGGCCCCGGCCCTTTGTATGATCCAGCATAAACCGATCACACACCTCGAACCTGGGCATGGACAGAGGTAACACATAACTCATGGAGACAACATGGCATCTATCTCTGTTAGGGACCTGTGAGCAAACAATTGTCTGCAGATCTGATGGCCTAGAGGTAAACCTATCCATCATTGGATCATTCTCTGATCAGGCCTATAACTGCAAAGGTACTACAAGTCTCCACCCCAGCCAGAAGCCCATGCACGGCCTGTGTCCCCGGTCCATCTGCAGGCTCCCTGTGACCCCGCCACCGCAATCCCTGACTGACAAGAGTGATGAAGATGGCGCCCATTCATTCTCACCTGGCTCCCCTCCCACATCGATATCAAAGAAGACCCGCGGATTGCCGGGGGCGGACGGCTTGTTACTTGGGCTCGGATTAGACATGATTCTCCGGCGTGGTCTGCACAATATGTGAACACCGGCTTCCAGCACCTGAGCACACTTCCGCTGCGGCCAGAGCCCAGCTTCCGGTTCACAGACCCCGCCCACCCCGCCGATATCGTCTGTACACTGGAGAAGACAATGCGGTGTATAGTTCTGATATCCTAGAGTCTGTACACTGCAATCAGTATATACTGTATACACCATCACCAATATGTCCTGTATACTGTGTACACTGCTACCAATATGTCCTATATACTGTGTACACTGCAATCAATATATACGGTATACACTGTTACAAATATGTCCTATATAGTGTGTACACCATCACTAATATGTCCTATATACTGTGCACATCATCGCCAATATGTCCTGTATACTGTGTACACTGCAATCAATATGTCCTGTATACTGTGTCCTATACACTGTGTACACTGGATTCAGGTGTTCCATGAAATTTCCTTGCTACTAAATATTCCACAGTCACCTGTTAGTGGTACTATAAATAAAGTGGAAGCAACTGGGAACAACAGCAACTCAGCCACGAAGTGGTAGGCCACATAAAATGACAGAGCGGGGTCAGCGCGTGCTGAAGTGCACAGAAGTCGCCAATTGCAGAGTCAATAGCTACAGACCTCCAAACTTGGTGTGGCCTTCAGATTGGCACAGCAACACTGCGTAGAGAGCTTCATAGAATGAGTTTCCATGGCCGAGCATCTGCATCCAGGCCTTACATCACCAAGTACAATGCAAAGCGTCGGATGCAGCACGCCGCCACTGGACTCTAGAGAAGCGGAGACGTGTTCTCTGGAGTGACTAATAACACTTCTCTGTCTGGCAATCCGATGGACGTGTCTGGGTTTGGTGGATGCCAGGAGAACGGTACTTGCCTGACTGCATTGTGCCAAGTGTAAAGTTTGGTGGAGGAGGGATTATGGTGTGGGGATGTTTTTTGGGGATTGGACTTGGCCCCTTAGTTCCAGTGAAGGGAACACTTAAGGCATCAGCATGCCAAGACATTTTGGACAATGTCATGCTCCCAACTTTGTGGGAACAGTTTGGGGGTGGCCCCTTCCTGTTACGACATGACTGCGCACCAGTGCACAAAGCAAGGTCCATAGAGACATGGATGAGTGAGTTTGGGGTGGAGGAACTTGACTGGCCTGCACAGAGTCCTGACCTCAACCCGATAGAACACCTTTGGCATAAATTAGAGCAGCGACTGCGAGCCCGGCGTTCTCGTCCAACATCAGTACCTGACCTCACAAATGCACTTCTAGAAGAATGGTCAAACATTCCCATAGACACAATCCTAACCCTTGTGGATGCCTTCCCAGAAGACTTGAACCTGTTATAGCTTCAAAGGGTGGGCCAACTCAATATTAAACCCTACGAACTAAGACTGGGAGGTCATTAAAGTTCATGTGCGTGTAAAGGCAGGCGTCCCAATACTTTTGGCAATATAGTGTATAGTCTGTACACTGCTACCAATATGTCCTGTATATTGGGTACACTGCGACCAATATGTCCTATATACTGTGTACACCATCACCAATGTGTACTGTGTACAGTGCTACCAATATGTCCTATATACTGTGTACACCATCACCAATATGTACACTGCTACCAATATGTCCTATATACTGTGTACACCATCACCAATATGTCCTGTATATTGTGTACACTGCTACCAATATGTCATATATACTGTGTACACTGCCACCAATATGCTGTGTACACAGCCACCAATATATCCTATATACTGTGTACACCACCACCACTAATATATCCTATATACAGTGTACACCACCACCACTAATATATCCTATATACAGTGTACACCACCACCACCACTACTAATGTATCCTATATAAGACATTTTTAAATGTCCCGGGAACATAAAAGAATTTTTTTTTTAATACTCACCTGATCCGATCCACCGACAAGCGCAGCGTCCCGCCTCTCACGCTGTCAGACAATGCATACAGAGCGTGTTGGTTACTATTTAAAGCGGCACGCTGTGTGCAGCTTCTGAGAAGATACGCTATTAGTGTAGTGGGAGCGATGCAAAATGCGCAGCCGGCTTCCCGCTACGCTAATAGCGTATCTTCTCAGAAGCTGCACACAGCGCGCCGGTTTAAATCGTTACTGACACGATCTGTATGCATATTCTGACAGCCTAAGAGACGGGAGTCTGCGCTTATCGGTTGTTCCAGGGATCAGGTGTTGAAGCAATGCAGAATGAGACCTTCTATAGAGGACTACAAATATCAGCAGTACTTTATACAGAAATGCTATTGTTATATAAAGTATTGCTGGGATGTGTAGTCCTCTATAGCCTGTGCCATTCTGCATTGCTGTAAATATTAGGGATGCACCGATATATCGGCCGCCTAAACATATCGGCCGAAAATTGAACTTTTGGCTAAATGCAGAAAGTGCAATTTTTCTGCCGATATAGCGACACATCCCTGCTTTCTTTCCTCCCCGCTGGGCACTGCTCTGCGTCCCAGCGGGGAGGAAAGAAAGTGAAAGCCGGCCGAGCGCTGCGGGAGGAGAGCGCT